GGTTTGTATATATATATATATATATATATATATATATATTGAAAGTTCAAATTTCTAACTTTTGATCAACCGTATTAATAACCAACGTCTATCTCTTCTCTCCAACGTCTCTCTGCCTCAATCTCCCTATCACAGGACCACCTTGGACCATCGGACCAGGTAAGCCCACCACCCCTATCTACTTTTACTCTCTTTCTCTCTTCTGCTTTCTTCTTATTATTATTCTTCGTTTCTTCTCTTTCTTTCTTTTCTTCTTGCCCCCCACCCTCTTTTCTCATATGTTTTCCCCCTATGCCTCCCCCTTCCATCCCCCGCCTCTTTATATTCCCATTTTCTTCTTCTTTTTTTCTTTCCTATATACCCCATCTCTTCTACCTCCCGTCCCTTGTTTTCTGGTGCACTAACCTAGCCTAGCGGCGATGGTAGTAGAGACGATTTTCCAGCGAGCCTCGGGCGAAGCGAACTTCCAAAACATAGTTGCTATGGGCAACACCTTTCCTGGCACCCATTGGGACTCCAGGCTCTATTGTTCTTGCTTAGAATTTGCTATTTGTTAATATTATGTCGGCTTCCTTTTATTCTTGATTATTGTAATTCCTTCGGCTTGCTTGTATTTATCTGCCATTAGGTATATCACTCGTGTCTTTGGTGTGCTCAAGTTACACTACCTTTAAGCTTATATATAGGTTGTTTTTGTTTTACGCTTTACCTACTTGTATGCATTTATAGTAGTTAAGGCTTAGTTTATATCCCTATGTTTTTGTTGGTGTAGTGGCTACTCCGAGCGATGGTAGTGTAAGGTCGTATCCTCGGGTGGGTCAGGGGGCAGGGAGCAAGGGTTGCAAGGGGGTAAGGCATACACAAGGTTGAGAGTTGGATCCTGGAATATAGGGACACTAACGGGTACGCCGATAGAGTTGGGGAAGAATCACTAGAAGAGGAAAATTAATATAGCATGTGTCTAGGAGACTGGATGGGGGGTACAAAGGCTTGGGATGTTAATGGGTATAAGCTATGGTATTCGAGGGGTGTTGGCAGCAAGAACGGGGTAGGTATTTTAATTGATAGGGATCTCAGAGAGTTAGTGGTTAATGTCAGAATGGTGAATGATAGGTTGTTGATTATTAAGCTAGTGGTTAATGGGTTCACTTTTAACGCGATTAGTGCTTATGCGCCTCAAGCAAGATTGAGCAGGGAGGTCAAAAGGCGCTTTTGAGAGGATTTGGATGAGGTTGTGTGTGGTATCCTGCAGTCCAAGGAGGTTTTCATAGGGGATTACTTCAGGGAGACGGCTAGGGGTTATAACAAGGTTCATGGCAGGTTCGGTTTCGGGGTTAGGAACGAGGGCAGTACTTCGTTGTTAGATTTTGCAAACATTTTTGACTTGGTACTAGCTAACAAGGGTTTTCAGAAGAGGGAGGGACACTTGGTCACTTTTCAGAGTAGGGTTGCCATGACTCAGATTGATTATCTTCTCCTCGGGAAAGGCGATAAGGGTCTTTGTACGGATTACAAGGTTATCCCGAGTGAGTGACTCTCGACGTAGCATAGGCTCTTGGTAATGGACTTGGAGGTCAAGGGAGCGAGGAAAAAGAGAGCAGTTTACGTCCAACCTAAGATCAAGTGGGGAGCCTTGACTAAGGGAAAGGCTTAGAAGTTGAAGGATAAGTAATTGGCTATGGGGGCCTGGAGGAGTAGTGGGGACACAAGTAGTATGTGGACCACGACAGCGAACTGTATTAGGGAAGATGCTATGGAGGTTAGGGGTCTCGAAGGGTTACTTGGGTGGCCACAAAGGGGACTGGTGGTTTAATGAGGAGGTCCAAAGAAAAGTGGAAGCTAAGAAAGCGGCATATTTGAAGCTAGTATGGAGCACGGATGAGGAAAAGCAGAGCTTGCATATGGAGTGTTATAAGAAGGCAAGGAGAGAGGCGAAGCTTGTGGTCACGACGGCTAAGACTGCAGCTTTTGAGAGATTGTATAAGGATCTTGAGGGCAAAGACGGGGATAGAAAGCTGTACAAGTTAGCCAAGATTAGGGAGAGGAAGGAACGAGACCTGGATTGAGTAAGGTGCATAAAAAACGAAGACGGTAAGTTATTAGTGGAAGAGGAGGGTATCATACGTAGATGGCAGGGATACTTCTATAGACTCTTGAATGAGGAAGGGGATAAAGAACATCGTACTGGGTGAGTTGGAGAACTTAGAAAGTCAGAGTAATTTTGGGTTTTGTAGGCGTAGTAAGTGTAAGGAGGTTGATGTGGCAATACAGAAGATGGGTAGGGGTAAGACAACTATGCCTAACGAGATCCCGATGGAAATTTGTAAAGAAGCGGGTAAGGTAGGCTTGGAGTGACTTACTAGCTTGTTTAACATCATTTTCAAGATGCAGAAGATGCCCGAAGATTGGCGGTTGAGTTTGTTGATTCTATTGTACAAAGGGGATATCCAGAATTACAACAAGTATAGGGGTATCAAGCTGTTGAGTCACACTATGAAGGTTTGGAAGAGGATATTGGAGAATAGAGTGAGGACATGTATATCTATCTCTAAGAACTAGTTCGGATTAATGACGGGACGATCAACTACAGAAGCCATTCACCTTGTGAGACGCTTGGTGGAGCAGTATAAGGAGAGGAAAAGGACTTGCACATGGTGTTTATTGACCTTGAGAAAACTTATGACAAAGTCCTGAGAGAGGTGCTATGGAAATGTTTGGAGGTTAGCGGAGTCCCGGTAGCGTACATCAGGGTGATTAAGAACATGTACAAAGGTGCTAAGACTCGGGTGAGGACGACGGGAGGAAATTCAGAATATTTCCCTGTAGAAATGGGGTTGCATCAGGGATCAAACCTTATCCCATTTTTGTTTGTCCTAGCATTGGATGAACTGACACGACACATACAAGGGAGGGTGCCATGATGTATGTTATTTGCTGGTGACATGGTACTGATTGACGTGATACGATGGGGTGCTAACTCTAGGTTGGAAGTTGGGAGACAGACGCTGGAGTCCAAAGGTTTCAAGTTGAGTAGGTCGAAAACTGAATACTTGGAGTGCAAGTTAAGTGATGAGAGACATGAAGAAGAAGTCGAAGTAAAGATTGATACTCAAGTCATTCCCAAAAGAGATAGTTTCAAGTATTTTGGATTTATAATCCAAGGCAACAGGGAGATTGGCGAGGATTTTACTCACCGTATTAGAGCGGGATGGATGAGATGGAGGCTTGTTTCGGGGGTTTTATACAATAAGAATGTACCTCTTAGACTTAAGGGAAAATTTTACAGGGTGGTGGTTAGACCGTCTATGTTGTGTGGAGTTGAGCGTTGGTCTGTCAAGAAGTCCCATGTCCAGAAGATGAGCGTAGTTGAAATGAGGATGCTGAGATGGATGTGTGTACATACCAGGAAAGACAAGATTAAGTATGAAATTATTAGGGACAAGGTGGGAGTAGCAGCCGTGGAAGACAAGTTGCGGGAATTGAGGGTTGAGATGGTTTGGGCATATGAGGATGAGAGACATAGATGCCTCGGTCAGGAGGTGTGAGAGGTGGACTACGGCGGGCTTGAGGAATGGCAGGGTTAGGCCAATGAAGTATTGAACATAGATAATTAGCTAGGACATGTCAGTGTTTCACCTAACCGAGGGCATGACTAGCGATAGGATGGTGTGGAGGTCGTCGATTAAAGTGGTGGGTTGATAGGTAGATATGAGTTTTTCCTAGGTTTACCAATACTAGTAATATCCTTGTTGTCGGTTGAGAGATAATTTCTTCTAGTTTGTTATTTATCTTATACTTAGCAACCACGTTCATTATTTTTGTAAATTGCTACTGGAAATTATTGTTCCCTGATTGTTACTATTTGATGCTACTTTTTCTCGCCTTTTACTAGAATTGCTGCTCTCTGATTGATACTATTTGATGTTACTTCCCCCGTTTTTTGCCTTATCGTCCTTTGTCTCCTTTCTTCTTTCTTTCTCCCCCTATTTCTTCTTTTTCTTCTTTTTCTTCTTTTTCTTGAGCCGAGGATCTATCGGAAACAACCTCTCTACCTCTCCAGGTAGGGGTAATGTATGCGTACACATTACCCTCCCCAAGCCCCACATGTGAGATTATACTGGGTATGTTGTTGTTGTTGTTATTGTTATTGTTACTGTTGTTGTTGTTGTATACTTAATTTAATCCTACTCAACCTGAAACGTTTTGACTCTAGTGTCTGTCTCTAAAACTCCAGTTTATTATTAACTCCACAACGTGTCTCGTCAATTAATATTATGTCACCAATAACGTACACCATGGTAACACTTGAATATGCCGTGTCAATTTATCCATCACCAAAGTAAATAAAAAGGAAAATTTTCGTTCCTATACCATATAGGAAACTATATTACCAAATATGTTCATAGTTTGCATATTACCCTTCATGCTAATAGTATTTCTACATAATATATACAATGCATTAAATAAGGAATCATTATAGTTGTAGGATTCCTTATTTAAGTGAGCTAAAAAAGGGGAATTAAATATTTTCCAGATCTTCCAACGCAAATTACGCACAGTAACCACTATCGTCTACTTCGTTACAAACTTCCAGTACTCTATTTTTTGCGCTAAACTCTGTTTCAACATTTTCTCTGATTTCACAAATAAAAATCGACAAAATCTTCTACAATTCTTCTGCAACAAAAGCAATTATGGCAAAAATACCAATTATGCTACAATCGAATGGGAATTGGGATAGCTATGGGAGATTTAGAGAATTCGAGGTCGATGACATTGTAGTCGATGACAATGCGACTTATAGTCTATTGATTTCTACAATAGCACAACAATTAATGATTGATACATCTAAAAAATTATAGAAATCAAATACATTGTCAACGAGCATTGTCCTCCAATGGAAATTAGAAACGATATAGGTGTTCGTGTATACATGGAGACGAAAAAAAAAACAAAAACTTAGGATCATATCCGCTATATATAATTGTTCGCGATTTCAATATGGGATTGAGTATCACCAATGAGAATACAGCTGCAGGTGTGCGATGTTATTTTTTCTATGAAATTCTGGTAAATTGTAAATGAACTACAATTTATCTACATTGTATCTACAAATAAATTACATATATATATATATATATATATATATATATATATGGATTTCTGTAATATCTACAAATTTTCTACATTTATTCTATATTAAAACTACAAAAAATTTGAAAAATTAATACTCCCTCCGTTTCAATTTATGTGAACCTATTTCCTTTTTAGTCCGTGCCAAAAAGAATGACCCCTTTCCTTATTTGGAAACAAATTACTTTTACACAATGTTTTATAGTCACACAAAATATATGTGCCTCATTTTGCACCACAAGATCCAAAGTCTTCTCTCTTTTCTTAAATTCCGGGCTCAGTCAAATGGATTCACATAAATTGAAACGGAGGGAGTATGAAATACTAAATTTCAACCTTTCTACAAATTTTCTACAAGCTAGTGATAATAATATTTATATTTATTTTCATGCAGGTTCATCTGGAATACTAACGTTACTTGATATGCCAACATCTCCCGTTATAGAGGAATATGAAAATATAATAATAACAGATAGTACACCAAGTTCTATTGAAGTAGGACAAGTATACCAAGACAAGGAAACAATCGCAACTGCAATGAAGCACTATTCTATCATGCACAAGTTCCAATTCAGGGTTAAAGATCTAGTGCTAGAAGGTATGAACATATGAATAGTTAATTTTTTTTTTAAAATTTTGTAGTTTATTTGTAATTTTTTTACTTCTTCAGTTTTCCTTGTGATAATGTTTAGCAGAATTGTAGTTATATTGTATTTATTATTGTATAATGTAATTGTTTAAGCTAAAACAAGTTTTTTTTTAATCTAAATTTTAACCCATTGTTTAAAATATATTTATTTTGTAGCTACTGGCTGATATGTGTTGGTGAAAACTGTACATGGCACTTCAAGGCAACTAGCATAAATGATTCTGCAATGTTCAACGTCAGAAATTTCGACAAACAACACACATGCTCTTTAATGGACAATACATTCATACAACGCAAACCTACTGCCATGATAGTTGGTAGCATGATTATTCCAAAATATTCTGATCCTAAGACAATTTACATCCCAAAAGACATTCAATTTGACATGTTGTCTGAACATGACGTGAATCTAACCTACATGCAAGTCTGGAGAGCAAAGGAAAAGACTTTACAGTTTTTGAGAGGTCATCCTGCTGACTCCTACAACAAATTGCCTAGTTATTTGTATATTATAGAGAAGACTTATCCGGGGTCTGTAGTTAAATTGAAGAAGACAAACGATGACTGTTCTTGTATGTATTTGTTGCGATTTGTACGTCAATCAGTGGTTGGAAATATTGTAGGCCAGTTGTAGTAGTTGATGGGACCTTTTTAAAGTCAGCGTACAGGGGAATAATGCTAACAACCAGTACAATGGATGCAGCAGGTACTGAAGTTTTATTAGTAGAAATATTATAGCTTGTATGTTTTTTTTAGTACTTGAAAATTAATTGTAGATATATTGTAGAATAATTGTAGTTTGTATATATATGTCTTCTTCTGCATTTTTACTGCAGCCAATTAATTGCTTATTGCCACATAATGTAGGTATCATATTACCATTGGCATATGTTGTTGTTGATTCAGAGAATGACGCATCATGGAAGTGGTTTTTTGAGCAATTCAAGCTCGCATATGGTGAAAGAGCAAACATGTGTGTTGTTTCGGATCGGAATGAAAGTATCTTGAAGGCAACATCTATTGTTTATCCCGGCATGTCACATTATTCTTGCATGTGGCATATTTGGACAAATATACGGGCAAAGTTCAAGAAAGGACATCTTAAGCTAAGTGAATTATATTTTACCACGGCGCGGTCATACACACTTGATGAATTTAATGAAAAAATGTCAAAGATTGAGGAGATTGACCCCCGTGTTAAAGCATACTTATATGATATTGGATATTATAGATGGTCTCGAGTACATGCAATGGTGAACAGAGCTTGGAATATGACATCAAACATTGCAGAGTCGTTGAATGCTGTAACAAAATATGCAAGAGAGCTGCCGATAGTAGAACTATTAGAGTATATGAGGACCCTTTTGAACGTTGGAAATTATTGAAAGCAAAGGGTACATTCACATACCTTGGATACAAATTCAACAAAGAGTTGGATGACAACAGAACATTGTCGCACAAGCTTAGAGTAAGATCTGATTATTTATGGAATCAAATTCATAAACACCACAATGTAGTTTTTTGGTAGATATTTTGTAGATATTTTGTATATAGCTTGATTTTAACCATATATAAATTGTTTTTTTGTTTGTAATGTACTCGTAGGTGAGGGCTTCAACAGACTACATCCATACAGTAATAGATGGTGTGAGACGCTATATTGTTTGTCTTGAAAACAAGAAATGTAGTTGTGGACAATTCCAACTTGATGAACTACCTTGTCCACATGCTTTGGCTGCTTTAAGACAAAGGGATGAGTCCTTTGAAGAATATTGTTCTCCTTATTACACAAGGGCGAACCTCTTGCGTACGTATGAAATACCAGTAAATCTGTTGTCTGATGAAAGCAAATGGAATGTGCCACAACATATAACTGAAGAAGTAGTAAATCTACCTAAAGGAGAGAAAAGGCAGCCAGGAAGACCTCAGAAAGAACGATACAAAACATATGATGAAATAAATTCAAAGAAGTACAAGGTTTCATGCGGCAACTGCGGAGGNTCTGTAGGAAAGTAATTAAAAACCAAGCCATATTGTAGAAAATAAATAAAGTATTGTTTACATTCAACAAAATAAATATAAAAGAAACAAAACACACTATTATAATAATCTACAAAATATCTACAAATACAACTACAAAAAAACTACAAATATCTGTAGCTGACATAATATATAGATTAAAATTCTGGTAGAAAGAAGCTTTATGGTGGAAATAATGTAGATTAGAATAACTATATAAAATTTCAGTTGGAAAAGATTTAAATGCTAAAAATAATGAAGATCAAGTACTGTAAAGATTCAACAAGTGAATGTAAACCCAACATAATGTTTCCATTTGAACTACAATATTGGATAAGGAAAAAAAAATAAAGGCTACTATAATTGTAGCACAAGTCTGCTACAATTAAAACATACTAAAATGTTCAAAAAATTGTCTACCATCTTTCTTATAAACTAGCATCAACTACACAGTTGTACTACATGTTCTATTCAAAAGATTACAACTACTTCTTCCTCTGGACTCGTATTTTCTCATTCAAAGCTGGTGTACCTTTCCTCCTTGCCAATTTGCATGTCACCTCACTATCACTAATTGCCCCAAGCTCATGCTTCTTTCTAGCATAGTCTCAAAGTAACGCTCCATAACGTCTACGGTGTTGGTCAATATCAGAAAGGTCTTCTGGGGGAATTGATAACTCTCCAATACTAACATACTCTACAAAGGCAACAACAAATATACCACAATCTCTGCAAAAAAATAACAAAATGTCAATATTTGCCAAACCATCAGAAAAAAATGGTTAAATGTATAAAAAGAAAGAAGATTTTTGTTACAGTGATCCTTCTTTTTGCTGTGGTATCTCTCCGACTATCCACTGAATGTTAAGAGTGTCGGTAACAACTTTCTCAATGTATGCTTTTGTATTCTTGAAGTTGATGTCTTTCCACTTCCCATAAAACCCGGTGCATGACAAATACAAAGGGATAATAATAGAAAACTTGTCGATACAAGATTCAACAATAGGGTGATTGTGTGAAGAAACCATAGAATCATACGCATAAAGATACCTTTCTGCAATGTCAAAAACAACCAACACCAGTGGAATTTTTTTACAATGTTGACGGGCATGATGACATAATTAACTTCATCCCATGCAACATTTGCGAGTAGTCTATACCCCAATATATATTCTGCTACAACATCCTAGGGTTTGACTACAGAAAACTTCTTTTCTTGAGGAGAATTTTTGAACTTTTCATAAATCTGATCATGTAGTAAATCTGGTGTTGTTGTGGGGGCCATACTTGCCTATTTTTCTCAAGTAATACATTATAACATTAATGTCCTGCAACAAAAATAGATTGCATTTATACTACATGTTATCTCAAAAAATTCTACACAAAACTACAAACTATCTACAATACATCTACAATCAGAATACAAAGCATCTATTCATTCAGAAAATACAAAGTATCTACAATTTACTTACAAAAAAACTACAAATTAAATACATTGAATATTACCAAGTCATTAATGACTTGTCCTAGGTGTGCAAGGGAAAAGAACCACTCCTTCTTGTCAACCTTTTCAACTCCCAGATCCAACCATGGCTTAATTTGGTTGTCCTTTATAGAATACGGAGCCTTCCTCCTATATAAACCAATAGAAATTAAAATAAAATTGTTGAATGAAGTGGATGTGTAAAAGATTAATACAGGAATATAAGTGTCAAATTGTGCAACCTAACCTCTTTGAACGCGTGTCAGTACCGTTGTATAACCACTTGTGGAATTGATCCAACAACTCAGGGTCTACATTTTGACCAATAACACTAGTAAACGGGTGCTTGAGGTGGAATATTAGAGATCCCACCGAGGTACTGCCACCAGAAGAGTATAAAGGGAGAAATGGTGATCGGGCATGCTTTCCCGGCTGCCTTGTTCTACCTTGATGCACGTGTGTTGTTTCATCTTGTATAGGCTCGAGAACTTAACCAACTGGGAGAAGTTATCAGGCAGCTTGAAATCATCAAGCGTAACCTCCTTTTTCTCACCTCAGGATTCTTCTAAATCACCTACATTCACAAACTCTTCACCTATATTGTCATCTTCCGGGTACTGCTGTTCTATTTGAGCTGCTACTGTCACTCCGTGAATTGGAGATTATGCATGCAGATCTTCCCTCTCTGAAACACCATGTATATATAACTTAATAGAATGGTAAAAATATTGAAACAAAAAGAAAATATCTCTGAAAACAATTTCAAACCTGCATTCTCTTCATCAACAGCCCCTTCAAAATGTGTATATAAATCAGCACGTGCTGGATGATTTTCTTTACCATGCGCACATTTAACATGTTCTATTTTTTTCATTAAAACTATTAAATAATACTGGATAGTGTTGGCTTGACAATTTATGAAGATATGAAGGTGTGTCACAATATGTACATAAATCTGTATTGCTGTGTAAATAAGCTGGAATTAATTGTATATATTTTGTATATATAATGTAGACAAATTGTAGTTATGTTGTAGATATTTTGTAGTTATTTTGTAGATGTTGTGTATGTAATTGTAGATATATTGGAGATACCTGTTTTGTTGGGGCTGACCTGCACTGTTTCACCACTATTGAACTGAAATTGCTGATTGTTCTTGTCTTTTGGTTGGTCAGTATTTTTGGTTGAACTTCCAGCAAATTGTAAGTTTTATATTAGTTAGGATATATATTTTAGAGGTAATATAAATAATTTTGTTAATATGATTAAGATTCAAATGTTACCTTTGCATCAACTTGATCATTTGGATTGTTTATCACCTGCAAAACAGTCTTGACTGATTCCTTTATTAGGTCTCGAAGGCTACCTAGTTCTTCAAATACATCTTCCCTAAGTTTTTCAAGCTTTTCATCGACCTACATAATAAAAAAATACATAGTTACCTTTAGAAATATGTATTAAAATACAGATACACTATTATATAAAAATCAGAATGCTTTATTAGGACTACATGTTACCTTCTCAACACCTCTTTTTAACTTATTTATTTTACGAAGAATAGACTCCTTTTCCTCTTTTCCAATTGATTCTTTGGGTTCCAATGGAGGAGCATCAACTTTTGGATTCTCAGAAATATATTCCACCTCTTCAATTGTGTACTCAACTTTATCAGGCAAAGACATCACTGAAAGCTCTTCAGGTGATTCATTTATGTTGGTGAACTGAATGATGAAAAAAAAATTTAGCTTGTTTGAGGCAGAATATGTATACAAAATGTAGATATTTTGTAGATACATTATATTATAATGAATAAAGACAATTTACCTTCATCCATTCAGGTTTAATCATTTTGTCTTCAATTGCAGCTAACCAAATCTGACCCTTAGCAGCTGACCAGTTTAGTATGCGAGGGATTGAATTAGAAATCTTTGTAGCTATATCAATGTTGACGGAGGAACAACACTCATACAACCATACTTGCATGGCTAGTGGGAATCCTCGAATGAGATAAGAATGAACAAAAGGATTTAGCCTGTGCCTAATAGATTCAATCAGGTGTCTGTAAGACTGAATACCCCATGGAAATGACTCGTATTGACCGGATTCAACCAAATAAAACCTAAAATGATCCACCAACCCAATATGGTCTCTCTCTGAAGGACAAATGAAGTATTCTATGAGATATAGAATACATAACTTGACTGCATCCTCATCATTGACCCAACTTTTGGTTGTTACTATCTGTTTTAAGTATGTCTTCTCCACTTTTACTTTGTTTGGAAAGTAACTGCTCATTAACTTACTGACATAACTAGGATTGTAACCAAAGTCTGTCACCTCAATATGACATCTAAGACCAGTTATTACTGCAAACTCTCTCAATCCAAAATTTAACCTCTCATCTTTTAACTCAGCTGAAAAATAAGAAGCATCATATGATTTCAATTCATACTTCATAAGAAGATGAATAGCTTGATTTTGCATGCATAAATTGGGAAATGACCATAAATAACCAAAGCATGTCTTCTTGAACAACTTCAAATCATTTGGAGACAAAAGCGCTTTAATTTGCCTAGGAATGCTAGGGTCACATAATGTCTGGAATCAAAGTACCCCATAATCAACATTATGGGATGCAAAAAAATGTCCATTCTGCAAAATTCAACAAATATAATTTAACATTAATACAACAATTAAAAAGCACTGATACATTTGTATGTTTCTACAAAATAACTTTAAAATTAGACAATATAACAACAATGTTAAAATAGATTAATAAATCTACAATTAAACTACAAAATTAAGACAAATAATCTCACATTATTTCAGTGCTTAAAAACATAGATACACATGCAATTTATATACAACATTTCTACAAAAATATACAAATCAAAAAAACCATAGAGTTGTAGTGTTTACCAACTAAAACAGGCGAAATAAGTACTGAAGAAATTAAAAAATTCTTACCTTAACCAGTGAGTGTTTTCGAACATTTTGAGGAGTTTTAACACCAGGGGCTTTTTTGAATTTTTCTTCTTTTTGAGAGTTTTTGAACTGGGAGCCACCTTAGCTTTCTTTCCAGGTTTATTAATAGGCACATCTTCTACAAAATTATCATCTATAACCACCCCTTTTCGTTTCCTATCCGCTTGTTTGATTGGCCTCGAAGATTCTCCAACATCGAAATCATTTTTTTGTTTAGTTTTAGCTTCAACCCTGATTTGACGTGAAGAAACACTATGCTTCATATCTACAATTGCATGTGCAGATTTCCCTTGCTTTGGGGGTGAATGTGGTGATAATACACCCAAATCGAAAGAAGGTACATCAGATTCTACATCTTTTTTAGGGATGTGTTTTGAAGCTTTGTTCTTTTTCATTGAGAAATTTTGAAGCTCAAAGGGAATTAAAAGTGTGTATGAACGAAATTGAAGATTTGACTTCAATTTTGAGTGGGTTTGTATAAGAAGCTTCAGCAGTGGGTTTGAAGCTTTGTTTTTCTGCTTTTAGCAAA